AAGAAATTGAGATATTTACTCAGCAACATTGTTCTAATTATTATATATGCACTTAGTCTCGTAAAATCACATCAATTACTTACTCGGTTTGGTTCGGCGCAAACGTCCGAATGAAACTTCTGGAGTCAAAACAGTGAGGTTAAATTTATAATGGTTATACTACATTCATGACGAATTTTCATTATAGTAATTTACGGCACGTTACCGGTCAAGAGAGTACAAATACGTGCGTGCATTAACAATACTGCGAGTGTAAATTTCCATTCCGGCTGCATGAAAAAATTTTTAAATCGCTCCCAATCGCAATGAATAAATCGTTTATATTTAAAAAAAATACATGAGAGCCAAACCTGTTGCGATGGAAATCTTTTTGATGGAAACACATTATATCTAAATTATTATTCCAGTTTTTGGATAGCATGCATTTTAAATAAATTCAACACACTTTATTCAAATGAAATATTCTGATAGAATTTTGCTTTCATTTCATAACATAATGTCCATTGGGTAAACCACCAATCAAAAGAAAATCATATAAAAATAATTAGAAAAAGTTTATGAAAATTTTAGGCTAGAAAGAATTTATAACACTTTACTTCATTTCAGAATTGAATGAATATATCTGCCACGCTGACTGTCATCATATTATGGTACAAAATAAATATTTGAAATTACCTCGAAGAAGAAATGAGAAGAAACCTTACTTCACGAGACTTAAATCTCACATAAAAAAATACTTCCATAGCTGTACATAAAACGTTTGATTATTAATCAGATGTGTAAACAAGGTGACAATTTTCATTTTATTATCCAAGTCCTGGTTCGTTAAAATCCCGATAATTTGGGGACAATAAATCCTTATCATGAGGCTTTAATGGACTATTAATAAATTTTTCATGTATTACAATTGAAAATTTACTACTTTGCATCACTGTTTAATATTAACCGCTTAGTTTATGTAACATATGAATTTGTAACGGTATTTCTAAGGCACCCATAAGTTTCATCATGCTCATGCTATTCATTTACTATTTACTTTTCACAAAACAGCTTGGTCCATGAGGACATTCATGTAACTCGTGCCTCAAGTCACGAGTTACATTCTAGTGAAGAAAATTGTGGTGACATGCATTAAAATGTTTTTTTTAATCGTATGCGTTTTTAATATTGATTTCTTCAGTGCACGTAATCAAATATATGCTCTACCAGTACACTACCAACAAGTACACAAATATAACAATAAACAACAGTATAAGTCTCCGTTGATCGCAGAAATTTACCGTAACAGAATTTTAAAAATATCTAATTTTCTTAGGCTACTCCTGAAGGGACGAACAGATATTTATTTACTCGCAAGCTCACCATTTATTTGATTGCATCAGCATAACCGAAACAGTAATGACCAATTTTTGGTGAAGATGCTATAATTAACGAAATATAGTAAATTTAACGACAAGCTACGAGAATAGGTGATCAGTAATTTATTATTTTAATTTTTAATAATGCTTATATGACATTAAAATTTGAATCCTTCGCCGCCCTATAAATATAATAATTTAATTTAAAGAATTGACGATCGCTCGCAAAGATACCGCTAATTGTATTTATATATTGTGATGCAGTTATGAGACAGAATGCATATAATGATTGAAATTACAAACATCAGTAAGAGTTTGGATTATATACCAACGTTAAAATTTAATGCTGCCACGCAAAATCAATTCATTAAATATATTAATTATCGTGCACTAATTAAAATTATTATCCTGGTCGTCTTTTTCAATTTAACGTCGACATTTTCTACTTTTGCATCATTGTTCATAAAATTGTAAGCGTGAAGGAAGTAATGATTGTTACTGAAATTAAATGACTTATTTCTAAAGAAAATTTACTTAACAAATCAGGTCAGAAATTAGCACGACAAAATTTTCATTTGAAATAGAATTTGTGAGCTTCATTCCATTTATTGAAATTTCCTTTAGAATTAGCAAACCTTGAACTCATTTTAACAGTACATTATCCAAAGCTTCTTATGCTTGGTTAATTCAGCCTCCTGAATATTTAACAGCGTCTGAATATGCTTGGATGCATCAAAAACTGTCACATAAATCATACATTCTATTTCTTCTAGTATTGCCGCGACCCGAGATCCTCATGTTTTCCTCTAATATATCAGATGAATAATTTTGTTAGGGAACTGCTGTGAAAACTTACTAGATATGGCGATTTGGAGAACTCCATCTCCTAGTCGGAAGTGTGTTCATTCATTGACAAGTAGTGATAACGTGTGTTGAATCTGTGTAAATAATAAATAATAATTAATGAAGCTGTGTAAATAATTAAATATTTATTATTAAATAATAATAAATAATTAAAAAATCAAAACATTCCGTCAATATAATTGGGTATAAATTATAACGGGAACGCAGTCTTTCAACGTTACAAATGTGGAACTAATATATAAAAATGCTAATTACTCGGTTAATAATTTAATTTTATGGCGTCACAAATCGAAACAGGTAAGCAACGATACCCTATTCCAAAATTTTAACAAACGTTCCAATTTCATACGATGAAATGTGGTGCACACCAATTCCTATACGTATTAAACCAAATATCAGACGACAAGTTTGTGAACAAGAATGCGACATACTCGGCAAAATATAATTTGAATATGTAATATATAATAATAAAAATAAAAAAATTTTCGTCGTTCCTGTGCTAAGAATGTTCCGAACAACAACTCCATCATCTGTTTAAAAACTCGAAGAACTAATGAAAAAATAAACTATATATAACCTTCAGTTACATGATGCGTTACAGCGCACGCACGGTCACCTAAGCTTGAGCTTAACCCACACATTCGTACAAGAAAATTCCTTAATCACCGAAGAGTTGAGAGAATCTCCGATTCTCCTGTACACGCGTTCCTTATGAAAGCATGTGAACCATTTCATTTTCACTTATTTTTGTTACATATGTTATAGTCACATTCATGATGATTTTAGTTGTTCAATTCAGTGATTCTCATCTCGGCCGACACATCGCATTTAATTCTGAAGTCATTTCAACGCGACCAGAATGGCAAGCTTCGCACTCTATATCGCTGCAATTTCATGCTTGGCGCTGGGCAGTCTGCACGCAAGCCGTTGCATGTTGTGAACAACGCAATTATTTTGTTTTTGCCGTAATGTCTAGGCTCTCGTAACCCTTCAATTTCCATCGAGCACATTTTAGAATTTATTCGAATTAGGAAGCTGCCTAGGTCGAACAAATATTTTGTAATAATGAAAATATAAATGTCGATATAAAACTGCGTGTTGAAATATGTGTTGATAAATGCGAAATGCGTTGTTATAAAACTGTGACAATCATTTAAAATGTGAAAGATAAAGTTCGATGATAATTTAAATTATTAATCGAATGACTACATCGCTAATTCAATGAATTTACCAATAAATAAAAAGTATATATAGTGCAACTTGCACATTTACAAGACTATTAGTCTTTTTCATTCGCGGGGATTATTAAAGGATCCAGTTTCTCGTGAGCGAGAGCGCCTCATTCCAGGAATGAGTCAAATCAGCGAAAAGAGCCGCCCTTATTTTTGGTCTCAACTAAATAGCCTCATTAGATAAAAAATATGTAAGGATTCAGTGCTTAAATTTCTTCGAGATAGGCGGGTAGCTGACACCAACACAAGAATACATGAGAGATATTTAGTTGAGGGTCTAGTTTAGAATCTATGAAAAGTAAATTTTCATTGGTCCTTTCATTCTTAAAAAAAGGTAATTATATATTTTAAAAAGATTCAATTGGAGACAGACCTGCCGTAACACATTATTGGTAATCTTTATTTTAACAAGCAGAATTACTTCGGTAAATTTTAATTAAAAGAACAGTAACGCAGCTCTTTTTTGTTGGAATCTTTAATTTTAAATACAAAATGAGCGTGAGTGTGTGATGTTCAATTTAAAGAGATGGAGCAGCCATGTGTCGGTTTTTGCCCTGCACTTGTTTATTCTAAAACTTTCCCATAGTTTGTCTTGGGATCCGAGAAAAAATAAACAAAATTTGTAGACATAAAAACAAGTTCATTTTCGCAAATTCCAATTCCTATCACAATAACGTAGCCAAAAATTAGTAATTCATTCATCATTTTACTATTTAGGCATGATTTTGTTTGCTAAAATATCGTTCATTTTAATAAATGTTTTCTGAAAATACCATGTGTTCAAGAAACGTCTTGTGAACACGCTGGACCAGCCTCCGATGTTCCGCGTTTATAGCTTCAGTTGACATGTATACCAAATGATGCTCATTCTGGCGCCCAATGATTTCATGATCCAAGGCCGTAAGCATTTAAAATGACTTCAATGCTTACTGCATATAATTGTTTCTGTGTTTTGCATATTGTAAACCTGAACTTTTTCGACAGGTCTGTCATCAAATGATCGCGAAATCTTAGATTTTTTATCCCTTATTGTTTAAGAATTTGTTAAAAGTTTTGTCATGCATTTTGCATGCAAGTCCGGCGTAATCAGTTGCTCTAAAAGTTTAAAAATAGAATATCTAAAATTAAATCTTAAGACTAAAAAAAGTGTCTAAAGAAATTTTAAATTTATAGATATATATTGTGCTCAAATTGGAACATTTACAGTTATCTTATACGTATATTAAGTCAAAAAGTCCGAATGGCTTAAAATTGATCATACTACATACAACTGTAAGCATTTCCTAATAAAATTTGGTAATTTGATCAAAACAATGCATAGTATGACATTCAAACCTAATACTGGATTTTCGTGTATTCAACCAAAGTAATCTGAGAATTAAATTTGTTTACATAACAAGCCGAAATCGATTATTTTAAGTTCATATGAAAAATTAAGAAGTATATATTATCGAAAGCTGATATATAGATGATACTTAAGATATAGATACTTAAGACAGATACTTATAGATAGATACTTATTAAGAAGTTCGAATTCCTGTCCCAGGTCCATTAGTGTTCGTTTCCGTGGGACGCGGCGATACTGCGCGACTTCCCTGCACCCGACGACCTCTGCCTCGTGACGACGCTGTGCGCCTTGTGCTGTGGTACCGCAACCACACCACTCGACCTCTGCTCAGGTACGCAACCACACCACGTGGCCTCAGCTCAGGTACGGTACAATACCACCCGACCTCTGCTCAGGTACGGGACAATACCTGTCTCTTATACACATCTAGATGTGTATAAGAGACAGGCTCAGGTACGTGACAATACCACCCGACCTCTGCTCAGGTACGGGACAATACCACCCGACCTCTGCTCAGGTACGCAACTGCACCACGCGGCCTCTGCTCAGGTACTCTACCATACCACCCGGTCTCTGCTCAGTCATTAATAGACTTGCCTCTTCAAAAACTTCTGGATTCATTTGTGCTATTTTGAAACCACTACAACGATGTTATTCTGTATACTTAGTTTTTGAAAATAGGACAATTTTGGAAAACCTGTAAAAATAATCTTCAGGTCCACCTGTTTCCTATTCCCATTCTAACTAATACGCTAATTTCCTTCCCTAGTTTCGATTTCCGCGAAGAGCAGGAGCAGCTTCGTAACGTGTCAACGCTGCCGCGGGACTACCCACCCAACTCGCTGAACTCGCTCTTCGCCACGCCGCGTATGTCCAAGAGTCCGCCTAACGAACCGCGGCTCTCGCTCTCCAGTAAAGGAAGAACGTTGGTGGTCAGACACGCGACACGCAGTGATCAGGCCGAGTATCGCTGCACGGTTCACTTCAGCAGGTCACCTGCGGTCACGCATCGACTGAGTCTCAGTGTACTCAGTGAGTGAGGTGCAAAGTGTTCATTTAGAGGTGCAGCGGAGTGAGGAGTGAGGTGCAAAGAGTTCAGCTAGAGGTGCAGCGGAGTGAGGAGTGAGGTGCAAAGTGTTCATTTAGAGATGCAACTGGGTGAAGGAGTGAGGAGTGAGGTGCAAAGTGTTCATTTAGAAGTGCAGTGTACTGAGTGAATGAGGTGCAAAGTGTTCAGTCAGAAGTGCAGTGTGCTGAGTGAGGTGGAAAGTGTTCAGTCAAAAGTGCTGTATGCTGAGTGAGTGAGATGGATATTGTTCAGTTGGAAGTGTTGGGGGCTTGGTGAGTACGATGCAGTTTTCAAGTTATAGGTGATGTGTGAATCGTGCTTAGCAATTAATATTCAAAAATAGTAGCTGTAACTGCAAATGTTCTCAAAAAGTGCTCCTCAAAAGTGTACTGCATATACATATATGTACTGCTAAGTATGGGCATTAAATTAAGCTTCTCGGCTCACTCCCTTCAGTAATCCCAGTGAAATCCGGATCGCTATTGACTCGCATTTAGCATAACCAATAACGGGAATCATTAATTAGTAAAATCCCTAGCGCTGTCTCGTCAATCTTTGTTGTAGAGAATGTCTTAGTATGTATTGATTGGTCGCTTGTAGGTATACGTTGAAATTAGGATCAGATTTATTTTGTATGTGGACTTATAGCTTGCGCAGGAGACTTTGCTGCAGATGCCTAAATGGAACTGACCGATTTTTCTAGCAAATTTCACGCTGACTGATCATTTGAGGAAAGCTACTTCAATTTTATTCTTCCGATTAAAAACCGAAACTTTAATTAATATTTTCCCAATTTCATCTTGAAACAATTCTATGGTCTTAATTGGCTGAGAACCTATACCTCAAATCGACGTGCAAGTCTAAATCATTCTTTGTCGGCGGGTCACCATCATGCAACTGCCTCCAATATCGAGTTTGGCCTCACTTGGTATCGACAATGCCCCTTACGAGAGAATACCTAATATTGTGCCCCAATAATTATTTTCTGAAGCTTTTAGGTCAGCCACCGCACATGGAGAAGTGAGGTTCATTTTTCTGCTAAATTTCTACTACCCAAATTGTCAGGCAGGAGGTGTGTCCAAAGTCGGCTTAGTGATATAATTAAAGTGGATAGTAGAGCTTCATTAATAAGGAAATTGTTCGAAATTACGATTTTGGATGTTACGTACTTCAAGAAGTTATTGAAAGGCTACTTAATTAATTAATCATTCTCTAATTAGTCGCTATCGAAAAAAGACGAGGAGATGAAAGTCGATGTCAGGTGATTGATCATTAGGATAATGCACTATTTATGACGATGCTAACAAAATAAATAGTGCACAAGTCTCCATATATTTTGGCAGTTTCATTGTAAGCGACACATTACTTTGACCTCAATGCCTCTAGCTATAAAGATCTCAAAGAAAAGGGGCCGTGTAAAGAAATGAACAAATTGAACACTAATGATGTTACGAACAACTTCAATTTAAACTTGAAAACAATGCTTGCTTCTTCGATGAATTTTGCTGTTAAAAGATTGTATGGGTCAGGCTCCTGAGCAATGTAAATGAATGAAAACTGTAAATCATGAGTAACTCCGCTGAAAGTTCTTCTTTAGCGAAGACTGAAATTAAATCGGGCATGAGTTAAGTGCGTTTCACTAAACGCCTGAAATTAAATCAGGCGTTTAGTGAAATTTAAGACTGGTCTGAAGACAGCTAAAACTCGATGAATAAAAATAAATGCCTAACCAAGTATAGATTTTAACACAAAACTTCGTAAAAATTATTCAGCTACTGTGAACTTAAGCATTTAATTGTTCCTTTAGCATTTTCACTTGAAAATGAACACTCACGAACAAGTTTAATGAAAGCCCAAAAAGCGAAAATTCTCAACTCTAATTTACACCAGAACCTACATACTTCGCACTTCCCACTGCGTCAATACCGCATATACACTCGCTGGCTCCGCTACGGTCTCGTTCAACATGCTCTAAACAACGAATGAAAAACAGCACGCAATTTCTGTCTGTTTCCTTACATTGAAGAAAATTTCTCTCGCTGTTGGCTGTCGCGGTTATCCTCATCACATCAACCACGGGGATAAAACTGGGCTTAGCTCAGCATACAACTTTTTTATTCCCAAAATCCGAGTGCGGACAGTAAAAAGCAGCGGTATGAGGGGTTGTAATCCGGTGTGCAATTTATCACGGCATCTAAGAGTCGTCGGAAAATCCTCCTCCAACTTCGTGAATTCAAAGCAAACAGCGAAAGCGAGCAATTGCTTGTTAGCGCTGTGCGCTGACTCGGCGCTTTCTTCTGTACTGGTAATGATACTCGTGCTGGAGGGTGAGGTTACCAAGACACTTTAGCCTCCTCTGTGAGGTTACAAGACACTTTAGCCTCCTGTGTGAGGTTACAAGACACTTTAGCCTCCTCTGCTCTCACGGAACTGAAGCTCGGAATGCTCCAGAAGTCTCAGAATATGTGACGTGAAATGAGATGACTATAGGAAGACATCTTTGTAACGGTTTTGTCCTTGTAACGGTTTTATTGCAGGCTTACAGACGAAGCCCTGCAAACCAAAAGGGTTCACGGTTCTCAGGTGTTTCCTATGTACCAGAATACTCAAAGAACGTCTTCTCTTAATGTTTTTTTTTAACTCAAAGAACGTCTTCTTCGTTGAGATTGTGTTTTATAATATTTTTTTTTTTACCAGAATACTTTTAATTCTTTTAATAGGAACGTCTTGAATTTCCGGCATGAAGATAATCTCTTATTGAAACCTTCACTTGACGGTTAGTAATAAAAAATTTAAAGTTATTACAGATTTACAGTTATTCATTATTTATCCAAGATTAGATTTAGATGATGTTAAAATGAAAGCTTTAGCCTTCCTTTTCATTAAACACCTGCAGAAAAAAGCTTGCGTGCTAATTCCAGATGCAATTTGATATCTTTCTTACATCTTGAGCATCCATTTTAATCCGGGTAGGATTAAATCATGCCGTTCTAATGTGAATTATTTATTATTTTAATGTGATACATGTAGATAAGACATTACCTTCTCATTCATAAAATAAAATAACATTACTATGAAATACAGTAATTTCAGAAGTAATGCCTAGGAAATTTCAATATTTACGATGCACCAATCTCACCTCAAACAAATCTAGGAAGAGATAGGCCAAGTGAGGCAGTAAGAGCATCGAGTTGTGATCCGGGTTTGAAAGTTTGAGTCGAATCGAACAGAGTTTCTGTATTGGATCTCACAAGATAATCCTTCTTACTATGCAATACAGTAATTTCAGAAGTAATGCCTAGGAAATTTCAATATTTACTATGCAGCAATCTCACCTCAAACAAATCTAGGAAGAGATAGGCCAAGTGAGGCAGTAAGTGCATCGAGTTGTGATCCGGGTTTGAAAGTTTAAGTCGAACCGAACAGAGTTTCAGTATTGGATCTCACAAGATAATCCCGCAGTCTGTTTGAAGACCCGTCGATTGACTCGGAATGGGAAGCATCTATTGCGAGAGGCGAGACTCCATGTTAACAAACGCCTCCTGTCCGCCTCTTATTGTCAAAATCGTTCCATGAGATCGAGCTTTCTTCTTGAAGTAAGGGCGGCAGATTGGATGCCCGGTTTTAATTTTTAGATGCGAATTTGGCCCTGTGAAACTGTATAATTTGAATGTTCGTCGATTAATTTTGAAGTTCTGTAAGATTTTTCGGATGTGAATTCAGCCAGCCTCGTAAAACTGCATGATTTGAATGATCTTCGATTAATTTTGAAGTCCCGGAAAATTTTTCGGTTGTGAATTTAGCCCCTAGACGGCCGTACTATTCTCATCTTCCTTGATTTGGTATGGCGTTAAACAGAAATTCTGATGCCGTACGATTTGAATTTTCTTTGACATGATAAGAAGTAATCTAAAAATGTGCCTTCGTGTGTGCGTGTCGTCCACGCGGAATTTTTCAGATTTGAATTGGTGTTGGCTAATCGCGCACTCGGGCAATGTCTCATTTCGATTTGTAGCAATATTTTATGCTGGAAAAAATAGTCAAAGCGTTAGATTGGTTAATTTTATGTAACAATAAGCTATATTTCTTTTTAGCTTGAATACTTCTTGAGACAATTCACTGAGTGAAAAAAAAAATTTAGCTGAAAGTTCCATCTATTCTGCATTTATTAAGCTAAGCTCAGTAAGTAAATATAACTCTTAAAAATAAAACTCTAAAACTCAATTTCAATTACTTAGTTATTTGAAAAATTAATTAATTAACTTGAGTACCTAATTGTCACTGATATATATTCTGACAATGCCGTTGCGCAGGTCGCATCATGAACCTGTCACTTATATATATTATGTAAGTGACAGGTTCACGTGAACCTGTCACATCGTGAACCTGTCACAGTAACTATTTGTCACTGATATATATTCTGACAATACCGTTCCTCAGGTCGCATAGTGAACCTGTCACTAGTGGACGCCGCTGGCCACTCAGTGGGCACGAGAGTGGGGCCCTTCAATGAGGGGCACCGCCTCACACTCACCTGTAGGGCCCACTTTAGTGAGTCATCAAAACTTTGTATATAATTCTAAATGTTTAAATGCAGGCTATTGATTAATAAAAATTGTTTTACGATGACTATAGAATAACAGATATATTAACTGAAAGGAATTCTCGAAAATATTTTCAATACAAGATTTGGATTGAGAGAACTATCGAAATCAAGGCTATTGGTTTAAAGAAATACTTTAATACATTCTGTGGAATTATTGAAGTATTTTAATGCCCGTTATGGATCCACGTATGTATTATATGCAGGCAAAAGATTTACAAAAATATATGAGTACAAGATATGTGTTCGGATAAATTTTTTAATGCAGGCTATGTATTAGCAGAAAGATTTTAACGCAAACTTGGGATTCTGTGAAATATTTTTATGCAAGAAATTGCTGAACAGGGTTTAATTCAGCAGCATTTGCAGAAATATCAATTATAATAATATTAATATTATTATATGATTGAAAAAGCCCGTTTCACGTCAATTATTATTCTGTATTTAATATATACCTCCACAAGAAGTTTAATATAATATTTCAATTTCTCTCAAGTGTTTTCCAAGATGGCAAAAAATCTTTTATCAATTCTCAAGTCTTATTTAGGAATAGCAGAGGCATAATGTGAAGAAAATAGTCTTGCTCAACTAAATGTGAAATAATGCTCATCTTTATATTTTAAGAAATTTCAGAAAATGCTTGATGGTGTGATTGGCTTTGCTAATCAACCTTTTCGTTAATTGACACAAAAGCAACCGCTCATGCAAAAATGAGCCGTTGTTGATGAGCGAGAAAATGAGCGGTTTCATAAAATCCAATCAGTTGATCGCTCTCCAAACTTAATTATGCCACTTAATTCAATGTTCTCATTTATTGACTATTTGGGCTTCGATTTGTTGAATTAGTACACAATTGTCCTTTGTCAATTTTTCTAATATGTCAGTGCAGCAAAATAGTGAATCAGAGCAATGTTACAACTGCGCATATAGATATATTTCTTGAAGAAATAAATAGATATATCTTTTTCTGTATGATTCATTAATTTATTTTTATGAATATGGTGACCAAATATCGATAAAGTTTTTTCCAGAATTTGGCCATGAGTTAGCTATCATTTTCAGGTTGCCATTAAAAGGAAAATACTTACCGAAACTCATCCTAAAATTTGTTCTACTTGCAATTTTTTTCAACTCTAATCCCATTTAAGCCGTTAAATTTATTCACAAGTTTACAAATTAGCCTCGAAATATACTTTAAATTCATGCTGTTGTAATCACTATAACTGATTTGATGGGCACGCAGACACAGTTTAAAATAGTAATCAACAAACTTACAACAGTGAACAATCAGCGATGCCTAGTCTGTCTTAATGAGACGCGCAATTCTTGGCACTTCATGAAAGGCGTTATTAGCATACAGAGTGTCTGCTCTCACTAGCAAGAAATTATTCTTGAGAAAGTCATGTTCTATCTGCCTGGTTTCACCGACAACAAACTGTCGATATTCTTGAGCGCTTGTGTACAAGTCGAAGAGAACTGCTCTTTGATCATTTGAACTTTATCCTCCCCATGACAAATACGAAATTTGGAATATCCATTGATCAGTGGTAATTTCTTCCTTTTATTTAAATTATTTCAAACCTGAACTCTAATATAGGTAATGACAATATTGCCATTCAGGTTACTAACTCTGTTTATAAAGAGTGAAGGATCATATTTCTTTCATTCAATTTTTCGCTGACTTCTATTCTAAAGGACATTTTTACAGTCTTGCAATTACTCACCGACCATAATAATGCTTTCCAATATTTTGATGCTTTAGATCCGACTTTATTTACGCGCTCCGATTTTTTCAAATAAATTGTGCAATTATCGGATTTATGAGAACTTAATTTAGTGAACTTTCGCTTCAAGTCATTTGAATTTCAGTTGCATGTCGGACTTGGTCTAAATTCGATCTCTTAATTTTAGTTGGCACCGAGTATGACTTTTAACTGAGCGATAAAAAGTTCAGAATTCGGAACATATACTCACTGCTGCTGGTGTTAGAGCCTAAATTTCAATTATTGAATGAAAATTTCAGTTATAATATGAAAAGTTCACAAAATATATCACCCATTTATGAACACATGCATGCCCCTGCCGTCGGTGGGAGTTTTTTTTCTGTCATTTGCAATTTAGAAACTTATTATAAGCTAATAAATGAATATTAAAAATTACCAAATTAGGAACATACAACCTCTGCTTCAGGTGGCAGAATGTTTTTTATTAATTATTAAAAATATTCTTATATATTACGAGACAAAGCATAAATACCACATATTTAAAAGCAACCCTACTGAACAAACCCTACTGAAAACAAACCCTACTGAACAAGCCCTACTGAAAACAAACCCTACTGAACAAACCCTACTGAACAAACCCTACTGAACAAACCCTACTGAACAAATCCTACTGAACAAACCCTACTGAATAAACCCTACTGAAAACAAACCCTACTGAAAACAAACCCTACTGAAAACAAACCCTACTGAAAACTGAACAAATCCTACTGAACAACCCGACTGAAAAAAAAATCCCATCATTCGGAGTATACACCACCCATCCGCAGGTGGCAGGCTGGTGGAGCTGCAGTGGCTGGTGGACGGAGTTCCGGTGAGCTCGTCTTGGAGCAACCCTGAGCCAGGGTTCGCCGAGAGCCTGCTGGACATCACCTTGGAGCCTCGCCACACGGGCGCTGAGCTCACGTGTCGTCTGGTCACGGCGCGGGGCCGTAAGCTGCCTGGCAGAGGCGGCGCACAGCAGAGACTCAGAGACGCTGTCGGCAACACCGGGGCTAACATTACTGACCTCTCCACGGTCGTCATGCTGAAATGTGAGCTTGAGTGTGGTATGAAATTTAAGGATGTTTTCGGTTCTTCATTACTTATGGTAATTTTACTTATCAGGCCTTCTAATGTCGTGTTGATAAAATTTGAGAACGGTCATGGAAGGACAGGTTTGGATGTTAATAGTCTAGTCTAGTTATTAGGTCTTTTGTTGTTGTCAGACTCATAAGTGATCTCGGGCATGCAGGATGTTTTCTAGAGGATACGTTGAGGTTTTCTTCCCGCTGTCGACTAATGGTATTATTATCATGTAGTAACATGGCTTCATAGGCAGTCATGCTAAAATATAATCCAGAGTGTGTAGAGAGAAGTGTGGATGTTATTAGCTATCTCTCTACTAATAGTAACTCTAATTACCCTTTTGTACCTTCTCGTAGGAATGGAATTGAAAACAATCGATATATCGGTTGACAAATTTTAAAATGTGTATCGATGCCGTTAATAAATTTGATCAATTTCAACTAATACCTTCATGCTCACGCTAGTAAGCTGCGTTAGGAAGGAAATGTGTGGAAGTTTTAAGCCGACAATGAAAGGATGTTAACTCCATTTAATATGCCTTCTAACGAGTACAGAATCGCAAACAGTTGACGTATCGGTTTACAAATGGTTAAATGTCGAGTTTGTCTGTGATTTCGATGGATAGATAAAGATTGAACGTGACACTACCAAACAATGTAATTGCAGTCATGATTTTAATTGTTGACATAATAACACTAAAAACCAAACAATCAAATTTTACGATCAGTACTTCCTAACAAGCTTCTGAATACTGCTTTGGCTAATGCACAGCCTGAATTATTCTGCTCTTCATTCATTTAATCCCAGCAAAATGCACTGTTTATTCAATTTAATAATCCTCGAATCCTCTTTTTCCATTAAATTGATGTGAGGCTTCCTCTAATAATTACCAGATTTACCTCATCGACATAAGGTTTCCTTTAATTATTAGCAGATTTACCTCACTGACATGAGGTTTCTTTTAACAATTACCAGATTTACCTCACTGACATGAGGTTTCCTTTAACAATTACCAGATTTACCTCTATTCATTTATTATTTTTTTGATGATTATTTACTTAATTATTTGTTATACCCTTTTGTAACCTTTTCACTCATTATCTACTTCTGGGAATTAGGAAGTGTTGCCCCCATTCATCCGTTCATCGAAACATAACTGATCACATGTTCCATGAAACATGGGGAATTAGCCGCTTGGTTTCATGAAATATTTAGAATCGTCCGTTGCACGAAACATGTCTTGAAGCCTGCTTCACGACAAGTTTGCCAATTTTTTTTTTTTCTTGCCTTAACGACGGATGTAAAACAATAAAATAGCTGAATTTTTAATCGTAGAAAAGATTATTTGCCTCATTTCTATAAATTCAAATATCGAGATATTCTAGGACCATTTCATATCGCATCGTAGCCACGATCTCGGGTATAACTTAGTCGCTGAAATCCCTGAACTGCAGACATTGAGTTCCGCGTCTCTGGTAATCCGCGATTAACTGCAAGGTAGCTGAGCAGCTTCCCGGGACATCTGACGTTGTTTTAATCAGTGTAATTAGCCATAAACAGAGCAGAGTTTATTATTGGAATAATTAAACTGCGCTTCATTATGTTCACGACAGGATAAATAATTTTAAATACGTGTTAATGCAAGTTCCTCGAAAAACAAGAGTGTTTCCACAAAAGTTGTTTAAATAAAATAGTTACAATTCGCTTCCACATGAGTTTTTCAAAAAAATGGTTGCGATTCTTGATCATGGCAACCAATGTTTAATACTAATTAAGTGGAAATAATTCATTTTCGTAAGAAACCTGGATATTGAAAAATGTCTATTCATTTTCCTATTGACTGGAGTTTTATTCAATTTTGTTCTATTTGTTACCAGACATACATCAAAATTAAATATATATAAATTCATTCACAAGTTACTCGTGCATTCTTTAACGTTTTTGGTTAACGCCATCGATATCAAAATGAGTTACAAGAAAATTCATAAATTATTCTTTTGAAATCAATGGAGCAACTAAAACATGCATATGTTCATTAAAATTAGTGGAAAATTATTGTTTTCATAACTATTACGTAGCACGTTAGTTTAATAAAAAGGTTGAAATTACTGTTAAAAAATAAACATCGTAGAGTCCATGTTTATTCATTAAATTGGCTTCCAATCAAAGATAAATAATCTAAATTAAATAGTTTAATCGAAAAAATGATACAAAATTATCCAAAAGTTACACATCACTGCTAGCATCAGAATTAAGTAACAAGAATTTTAATCAAAAATTGAAATGAAATTGCTTATCAACATTAACCGGATCTAATACTGGTACTCGGAACGAACTACAGTTAACTTCGTTCTTAATATTTTCATAATAAGAGCTAAATATATTTTCCTTTTTCTTTCTCAGCTCTCTATAAACTTTGTACAACCAAAAACTGACTGAAAAACCTATTTCAAACCCTAACCATATGCGGCAATACCTTCTCGTGTTTCGAAGCTCCCTAGAAAAATTATTATACAAATTATATCATTAATTTTTATGCAAAAAACAAATTTTCTTTCGATTCTCTAAATATTTTGTTTAATTAAAATCATTTTGTTAGGCTTACCACATAGCGACGTTGTTTCTGGTCACCGCTGTATCTGGTGTCAGTGCTGTAATTTCTATTGCCTGTAATTGCTACGCTTATGTTGAGAAAATCTGTTCCATTGTGCCGTGATTGGACATGCCGCCGCTAATCATTTACCAGGCTTAAATTAATATAGAATTCGACCAGAGAATAACGTCATAATTTAAATGGCCTAACTATTGATATTCAGTAGCGCCATATTGAGTCTTATATTACTTCTGTTAATTAAACCTTTATAATGAGAACACCGAGCAGCTCTTTGTCTTCAGTATTGTTACAACTCTCATAAAGTGATAGGAATTATTTTTCTCGGTGTGTTTTATCATTTATGGAATAGAATTAATATTACATTATAAAATTATTCCTCTCAACGCAATTGCCCCAAAAATCCATCTGCCACTGATTTTTCATGTGATACCGAATAGTCATCCTACTTCATGTAAGATATTCGTGATGTAGTATTTTGGTTTAGTTCCGTTTTTCATTCATATTGAACTATTCAACATAATTTCACTCCCACCGAATTGAACAAAACTACCGCACTTGTTTGTTTGATAATCTCACTGTAACAAGTTTAAGTAAATCTTAATTAAAATTGAACATCGGATATTCTTCATCCACCAACATATGTTCTATTGTCCAAGAATGTTTTCACTTGTTTTTCGGCAGGGTACCGTGCTAAGCGAATCAGACGCTGAATTGAAGAGCAACCAGAAGTTCATTTCAACAGGAGATAATCTCTTAACGTTTGTCTTCACCCCACGGAATCAACTATTGTCGTCATCGGACGACGCAGAAACCCTAGACGAGGAAATCACTCCAAATCCATTACCGGCGCAGCTTGGCCCAAAACTCTACGGGGAGTTTCATCATCATTTCAGCGCGGGGCGTCTTGAGTCGAATCATCCACATTTTGCAGCACAAATCCAGTCTATAGCAGCACCGCTCAAAGTCCTCACATCAGACACGCCACATTCGACAAATGATTTAGGATCACATTCTCTGTTCGCTTCACACCTCACACTGAGCAACAATAGGAGTATTTTACAACTGAGGCCTGTGCGTAGAGCAGATGCGGGGCTTTATACATGCCTTGCGTCCAATTCTGAGGGTGACGGTCAAAGTAATGCTGGTCTGCTGAGAGTTACTCGTAAGTAAGCGAATGAATATTTATATCTGAATTTTTATAGATGTGATGGGTTATCATTGTTTTTAATTATAGTCATTCAAAACAGTATCACTAACCGTTCAAACAATGTTATAAAGAAGTTAGTCGTAACAAAAGTTATCTCATGCAACAAATATTATATTCTGTCAAAAAAATTAGAATGATAGGAAAATATAAAACAAGATTGCTGCTAATAATACAACAGCGTTTAAAATTTAATTTTCAGACGCGCCGTACTGCTTGGCACCACGAAACGAACCTCGGATAATAGTCGTTGGACGCAACACTTCCGTCACTCTGGTGTGCGACGTAGCTGCTGAGCCCGGCAACAATTTAAAGTTTCTTTGGATACGTCAGACCGACGTCTTTGGATACCAACGCTCCTTTGAGAAGGGCGGGGTTGTTACAGGGGAAAGTCCAACTTTTCCTTTTCCTGGAATGATCGATCTCATTCCAACAGAGCCTAGCAGCGGCAAAATCAACACATCAATTCACCACCCGCAGGCTTTACATAACTCGAGCCCAACGTATATTCAAGGATATACCAGCAACACTCGTATCGCTACGAATCAAAATCTTGGCCAGGCTGGAGAAAGAAAAGCTAACCTTGAAGGCCATTACCAAAAAGAAAAATCAGCGAAAAAGAACGATATACCGCCATTTGCAGACCTTCCCTTCGTGCGATGGGAAGACGTGCTTGAGGGAAAGATTGATCCAAGTGACCCGAAGAGATCTTTTCTGACGCTTTCGGCGAGGGAGGCCACTAATATTTTATGCTACGCTAAAAACATGGAAGGCAGAAGCAGGGTGCCGTGTGCGTACTCCATTGCAGTGGTTGGTGAGTGCTTTTGTGGTTCAGGTTATAGAGTGGAATCTTGCTTTACCGAACAAGCTAATTTATTTTTTTAAATTAATGATCCAAAAATTTAAATTGGTAGTTCATCCTATCCAAATCATCTAGAAACTGTCATGAGTTCAGTCAAATTAGTTATCTTCATAAGGATAGATACAGCAAATTCAATATCTTTTCCATCTTTTCCGGTATATGCTCGCTGGAGTTTAATTAATCTTTCTCTGAGCTAACCGAAGTACAAAAACCTTCCGATTTAAACGATATAGTAAACAGCACGAAAGAATCGACGCTTTCCTCGCCGTATGGTCCTGGCAGTGCGTAAAACGTTTTAAGGCCCAGTTGCATTGCGGATAAAATTCCGCTTCTCGAGATGGCCTCGGCAGTAATCACTGCAAGAGCCCTTAAACCAACTTCCAATTGTGCACTGCAAACTCCAATGCCTCAAACGATTTGATTCTTAGAAAGCTTAAATTAACAGTCGTTTAAAAGAGAATATCAGGCGAAAGATTTTTGTCTTCAACTCGTACTGAATTAACTATTTACTGAATGGATTTTCATAATAAAATTTTTTCGATTAAAGATTTTGCTATAATACCGAAGTTTCATTATTAGAGAAGTAAATATGAATTTTTCACAATGAATCTAGAAAAGTTATAAATCGATGCCTCTCAATCATGCATAATTAACAAACAGATGCTTGGACAAACTAGCCGAACAATAAATACAGTGCTGGATAATTCGGTCGTGCATGATACGAGCAAATGGATCCATAATAACTAGGTGATCTAGAATGGAAATAAATTTTCGAATGGATCCTGAAATATTTTGCTATTGAATCTAGGGTCCTTAGCCTTTTTACGATGATCCAAGAGGCTTTGATGTCGTTACTCAGCATCACTGATGCTCGTAAAACTTAGAGTCACATCCACAAGCTTGCAGCAAAATCAGTTCTCTGCCTCAATTCTTTTCAAGATCTTACGAGTTTATTGAGGCTGCTTAGAGTGCAGAGCGTCTTAAGACTAAATACACAACTGAGAAGATTTTGAGGACCGGGATCCCTAAGTGAACAGGTTTTGGCCATTTGCTGAATGAGTTTGCATTGGAGAGACAAGACATTGATGTTACAAAACTCCACATAGCGAACAGAACACAGTGAATAATTTGGGCAAAGCTTGGAAATTATTCCCTTCAAATAAATACTGAGGATAATGATCGAAGAATAGTAGTGAGCCTGATAGGCATACATAATGAGAGAGGAGTTACATTCTCTCATTTAATCACTTCAATTAAAAGTTACCCCAAATCCCATTGCACGCAAAAAGTTATTTTTCTTTCAATGCATTTTTTATGGATTATGGGAAACAATAATAAGCCTTGGTACCTACTGTAATGTTGGAACTTTAAACGTGAGTATGTAAAATTGCACCTTCTTTACACATGTTAATGTAAAATAGTTCAGAACAAGTCAAGAAAACTTATTTGTCTCACGATTGGTTCTGATATCCAGTGCGTTATGTTTCTGCTGGATGAACTTTTCTGATACGTCACTTTCAATATTTTTTTGCAATTATCCATTCATTGGTTCTTTACTATCACTTAATGAGCGTATCACAGTTGACTGCGTACGGCAGTGTTCTCTTAAAATAGTTCAGAATAAGTCAAGAAAACTTAATTGTCTTACAATGGGTTTTGCTGTTAGATTAATGAGCGTGTATTTCTGCCAAGCACGCATGATCTTTTACTTGAAATAGACGTTTGATGATCAATTTACTTTTTTCTACTATAATATGAAAAAACCTGCTCTTTGATCGTTATAGTATAATTAGATTTTTTACTTGTCAATTCCAATTACGTATTGGCATTGGGTGCCTATTGAATATCGTGAGCAAGTCGCTCTAGTTAAGATAAAGATAAGAGAACTCAGCAGCAGATAAAGATAACAGAACTCAGCAGCAGACTTGTTCCTCATGCGGTCAACTGTGATACGCTCATTAAGTGATAATACAGAATCAATTAATGAATAATTGTAAAAGAATATTGAAAGTGACGTATCAAAAATGTTCATCCAGCAGAAACATCGTGAACTGAAGCTCTCGTAAAATATTTGATTATGAAATGCCATATTTCATTAAATGAGTTTGTTAACAAATGTTTAAGGCAGTCATCGGTGATGCGCTCATTAAGTGATAATACAGAAGTAATGATTGAATAATTGCCAAAGAATATTGAAAGTGACGTATCAAAAATTACGCATCAAATTTATTTATCTATAGCTAAAAACTAATAATAATGTTGATTTTTGTAATTATTGGTAATTTAATCAAACTCAATAAATCTTAAATTCAATGATCGGTGCAGGGAAACATCAAGCATTGTTCTTTTTACATTCAACAATAAGCAAATCCTTGCTCCGATAATTTTTGTTTCTACATTCTAAATCCGACCATAGCTGCATACCATAGTATATGCATAGGTGCATACCTATACTTTTCCATAAATAAAACTAGTCCGACATTCAAAATTCATGTACTGCATTTTATCCTATGAAATATTGCAACAAAAAATTCAAAATACAGCTTCAACCCTTGAATTTTTTTGAATAACTTGAATTTAAGAGTGGATACATTATTCCTTTGAATTAATACACACCAGATCCACCGTCCCCCCCGAGCAACTGCAGCGTGGAGGAGGGGGGCGACGATGGCATTAAAGTCTGGTGTGTGGGGGGCGGTGACCCCCCCTCGCCCCCCGGCCTCAGCTATGTGAGGTCACCTCAAGCCCGCACCACCACCGCCCTCGAGGTCAGCTCTCATTCAATGACTTATTTTCATTCAATGAGAACTCAAAATATTCTATACAAAAATATTCTATAATACCAAAATATTGTATATAGGAAATATTTTATGTGACTTGAACGCTTATTTAATTCTATTTATTTCATGCAATTCTCATGTTCCATAATAAAATCAAGGATAAGACTTTCGTTGCATCAGTACAGTAACGTCAGTTCAGTAACAACTGTACAGTAATGTCCTTGAGTAAAATCAGTAAACTTGATAAAGAAACCTTTTTTATTTAACCTTATACGGTATAAGTAAATAACAACATTTATTCTTGCTATTTTTTACTTTTTTTTCGTTGATGTATAGGATAGAAAAAAATTCAGTTGAATCCTGAAAACTGTGAACTAAGGTACATTGATTAAGACAATAAGTTGTCGCTTCAATTAATAACTCCAGCACCGTTGTTATACGTTTTTTCGACTCGAATAATTAATATAATGTGGAATAACGGTAATCATGTATTTATGGTACTTTTAATTACTTACTGTTTGTAATTGCGTTTCGTCTTTAACCAATAAATGTTTTTCATTTGATTGAAATTTGAATTTTGGTCACATTTTGGAAATCGTTTATGCGCCAAACGAACTATGTCTAAAAATTACCGTAGCAAAATAAACTAATAAATGCAACATTGCAAAGAAAAATAGTGCAAAATTCAAATAAATGTTCGGGTTATTATTTTGTGTACATAAAGCGCCGTAAAAACTCATGACTCAAGCAGATCAGAAATTGGTCGCAAAGAATCAACTACGAAATGCAAAACAGCATATAAAATTGATGCAAAATGCAAACAAAATAACAGCTTATCATTTAATGTATTTATATCTTCGTAGGGAAGCTCCTAGCCACGGCAAACTAAATAACAACTAATAATAATAAATAATAACAAAATAACAGCTTATCATTTAATGTACTTATATCTTTTTATGGAAGCTCCTAACCACGGCAAACAAAATAACAACTAATAATAATAAATAATAACAAAATAATAACTAATGCAAACAAGATAACAGCTTTTCATTTAATGCACTTAAAGCGTCGTAGGGAAGCTCCTAGCCAAGGCAGTGCAGAACTTGGTCACTTAGAACTTGCGTGCGCGGATAAGTCATTCCCGGTATTATGGAAGCCTTATTGATGGCCTCATGGGGCATCTAGGAGGCTTACATGGCCTGATTAATTTCTAGTGCCCATCTGCCTCATCGACAGTGCCTCATTCTAGGTCTCCCTTCATAAATAGACACTAAATATATACAGTTTTTAATAATTAAATCTATGTATCTTCATCACTATATCTATGAATCTGCATGGATTGAATCGTATGAAAGCAAATGGAGACATGAAACAAGATTTTACCGGCCAATGGACAACAATATCAAGCACTCAATCATCAATAATCTAATTATTAATCATAATTATTACTATTCATAATAGTTGTAATCATATGATAGAAAAACGAGTCTACTGATGGGCATGCTAAAGTTGTCGATTAAATCAGCTGGAGATGGGAAATTGAAAAATTTTCGGATGTAAAGACAAATTTTTTCGGATCCTATTCCTGTTAATGAATCTCAAAAATAATGGAAAGAATTTGCCTGTAATTTAATTTAGAAATGAAATATTTGGCACTACAGCTCGGTTAAATTGAAAAAAATGGAAGCGTGTCATCTGGTTTCCCACCGAATGTCATGCTAATAAACACGTCCAGCTCACGTCCAGTGTTCAACTCGTGTCTTAAATCTCAAAAATAATAGAAAAAAATTGCCTGTAATTTAATTTAGAAATCAAATATTTGGCATCTCAACTCGGATAAATTGAAAAAGTGAAAGCGTGTCATCTGGTTTCTAACCGAATGTCATGCTGCTGAACACGTCCCACGCCCAGCTCACGTCCAATGTTCAACTCCTGTCTTAAACCCGTTCATCTTGTGCCAGGTGTGGCGCCAGAATGTCATGCTGCTGAACACGTCCAGCTCGCGTCCAATGTTCAACTCCTGTCTTAAACCCGTTCATCTTATGCCAGGTGTGGCGCCTGAACGTCATGCTGTTGAACACGTCCAGCTCGCGTCCAGTGTTCAACTCCTGTCTTAAACCCGTTCATCTTGTGCCAGGTGTGGCGCCAGAATGTCATGCTGCTGAACACGTCCAGCTCGCGTCCAGTGTTCACACTGCGCGGTCTACCAGGGGACGCGGCTCTGCAGCTCAAACTCTACACTGTTGCTCAGCAGGCTCGCTCTGCACCCTACGTTATGCACCTTCGTACCAGACCCTCCGACTCTGCACATGGAAATATCAGTGAGAACCATGATTGCTCCGGTGTTCTACCTGACATAACTTTTTGCCAATACCATGTGTCTGACTCATGCAGAGGCGGGCACAGTCTGCTAATCCGCTAACCGCTAATTATCGTAGCCGGTGTGCCACACTGATGGCTGAATACGTCAAAATATGTACGTCAACCAATCACGTCAAGCACAAGTTTTTAAGATAAATTCATAAAAAAGTATCTCTCAATAGTGATGCGCCAAAAAATATTCTGAACGATAGAAGCTTCTATTTACAATATAATTATCAAATTAGAATTAAGAGAAAACTTTCTTTTGTAGAATATACATTAACTGTGATCATAATAATTGTTAAAATCCGAATCCTGTTCTTTTCAGAACCCTCTATTCAAAATTTCGATGAAGAGGAATCCGGTTTATCAATATTTTTCGACGGTCGTGGAAATTTTAGCCTCAAAATGCCCAGTTTGATTGGTGCCATCTTGGGAGCTATCCTAGCTCTTATTTTCATAATCCTGGCATGCGTCTCTGCTATTATTTATCACAAAAGGCGACGCTCTAACCAACATCCTCAGCTTTCCACGCACAACCTCTCGGCATCTCAACCGAGTTCCCGGTCGTCGTCGCATCGTGGATCAACCCACGACGTGCAAGCTTTTACTCAAAGATCGTCGCCTGAACGCGAGCTCGAATATATGTCTTCGCAAGCGTCCAAAAATTTTGTTGGCTCGCATGGCTCGGTCGCTGAATCTTACCTAGGGCCCGTGTCCGTAAGTGGAGGTTTTAGTCCAGTCGTAGAATCAACAACGATGGCAAGTACTATACCAAAAATGAACCAAGATCCAAACTTCGAACAGGCCACAGAGCCAGGGACCATCTTGAGTCCCAGATCAATTGGACCTTCCTCAAACATCAATTCATCAATGGACACCAGTTTCAATTTGGGTACCAGTCCTATGGACCCAAGTGTGCTCTGCCCTGCTAACACGAGACAAAATTTTTCGTTGACGCAGTTCCCACTTCTGGTCTCATCGGACGCCTCGCTTATGACTTACATGCAAACTCCTGCCACCTGTCTCGCAGGTACGTTTAAAATAGCCCGACAGCTTTCTACTTCCGAGCTAAAATTGCTAATTAATTTATTTGCGTGTTATAATTATATGCCCTAAGAAATCTCGATGATTTCAAGAAAAAAATTATCTATCTCATTTTCAAGCTTCCAATTGAGTGACGTTTGCAACAATATGACTTTCGCGAAAACAATCCAATTTGGTCCAGTGTGTTTAGATGGTGTTTTGAAAGGTGCTGGCAGGCTCTAGAAACGTACTCCTAGGGATCAGCCTCTCACAATTTGGTGTGGACGTTGTAGCTTTTACGACATCTTACGTGGTCGGTAAAGTGGCATGCCTGAGGCACTGCTGCTACAGTGTACCTTAGAACGAAGCGATGCCTCGCTCTGAACATCCTGTAACATGTTACATTCCTTGACTATAAACCGCTGACGATCTTCATCCTTAAAGCATACAACATTCATTCTTCAAGTAAAGTTGTATCAACTCTCAAAACTAACACGTGATCAATAAATTTTATTCAGTTGAACAATTACACTGTTAATCTCATTTCTGAATAATGTCAAAATTCAGCATTTTTGGCTCAGACAATTTTATTGGAGCGTTCCCATAATATACATATGTCTCATTTCAAAAGCGAAATATTGATAGACTAAATGAAAATTAGTTATTGATAAATCAAGAACTCAACATAAATTTAACAAATTGCCCTTCTCTAGATTGTTATCTAAAAGTTTCCTTTATGGAGTGGGTTGTCGATTAAGTTAAACTGCTACTTTTTGATTGACTAATTTTTTAACAACGTGCAAGATTCACTGAATTTTTTCATTCGTTACTTCATTTTCAATCTGTGCTGTGCAGGGTCGCCATCTCGCCAAGCATCCGTCTCATCAGCCCCAGCTCCACCGGTAAAAGTTTGAGATTTTTATATACTTCCAACTAATAAGACATCGGTTTATTTCGAATACTACTTACTTAATAGGACATCAGTAAGGATATAATAAGTATTTAATAGGATAATAGGACATCATCATATCAGGAGGAACACACACACAGAAATTGAATGAGTACAATATTTCTTAAGCATCCTAAAATATAACTACTATGATATCATTATTATCCATGCTTATTTACGAAGATTTTCACTTCTAGCGTTTGTGTAGCACTTTGAAAATCGGATAGCAGTTTAACTCGCATTCAAAAAAATTCATTAATATATATGACTAACTTTCTCAAAACTTTATTTTTGCAGGCTCAGTTTCAAGATCAACATCAGCCAGTATATCCTTTATCTTCGCTAACAATGACACAGCATTTACCGCCGTTCTCTATAGAGCAAAACCCAAGCTTTGGCATCCCCCAGATGTCTTCCAGCTCTGGCAGCTGCTACCCGCTGTCGTCACCTCCGTTATTATCAAGCGTGAACCACACGCAATGTTCATCCTTCCACGCAAATCGCTTTCCAGTAATTTCTTCCATTGCAGTTAATGCTTCTCAAGGAACCCCTTCGATCCCTTTCTCTTCTGTTGCTGGCCAGTTACCAATTAACTCGTCCTTGTCTGTTGCCAACCGTCCAGCCCTCGCGACTTCAACCCATATTGGGATGCCACCGACGCCTCTCTCCAGTTTCACGCCAGCCCAGATGTCTGTCACTCTTTCTTGCAGCCCCTCCACTTTATATAACCCAAGCTATGCGCCTGTATCAGTATCTAGTATGTCTTCCACAACTATACTGTCTCCCCTTCGATTCGCTTACTCAACTCCGTTGCAAATTCCATCTACTCAACCTCGTGATTTAGGAAAAGGGTCTAAAAATTCAGAGGATTCCGCAATTGCCAGAATATCAGGAGTCGAACTGAATGCTGAAGTTTCTGTTCCTGGCCAAGGGTCAAATTCTTCGCTGACGGAATGCTCGATGAACAACGTTAGCACTTCACCTCTGGGAAATCAAACTCTTGCTTTGAACCCTTCGTCGAAAGAAGAAGTTCGGGGAGCGGCGGTTATTTCAACCCTAGATCAGCAATCTTCTCTCGAAAATGCAATGCCTGCAGGGCTGCAGTCATGCAAAGTGAAGGAACGAAGTCAGGCAAGCGATTCTCCCCATAAAACCGATTCGATCCCCAAGCCTTGATAGATCTTTTTTCAGTATTAACAAGTATTATGAAATTAACCTTTCATTCCGGGTGTAAATTAAACGAGTCGTTGCGATATCCGCCAGGACTATTTAAGTATCAGTTTTCTTATCAAATTTTTCCTCAAAACGTTTTACGACGCATATTTTGTGTTTGTCGAATATAATTTTAAATTGCAGCTTCAAGTACCGGAATATTATTTAGTGGTGATGCACGTTTGCTCGTAAGCTGTTGGTCATACGATAATTTCAATGATTCCCTGTTCGTATCATTCGATTTTATTAACCTTCAATTCCCATTTAAAATTGAACCCCCGATTCAAAAGGTAAATGATGATTCAAAAATTATTTAATCAGAGTAATCCAACTAAAAAATATAACTAAGATATATGCACTTTATGCCTGAAGTTAGGTTGGAAGCTGAATAGCCAGATCATATTTTGAAATTGTAACATATTTGGAAACTTAACATATATGGAAAAGAAACTGCCCTGTCGACTCATAAATCTACATTAAACTGGTTCATATTCATTAATGAAAATAATTATAACGTTATTCGATCTTGACATACTGGCGGAATGGTGTCAATAGCTTTTCTTTAAAATATCAACATGATATTTGTGCATCTCAATGAACCAATAATCAACAGATTCTCATCACCTGATAACCGGCTTCAAATTAGAGTTATTTATGAAATATTATAATGATGATTTCCATGGGATGATGATGTTCAAGATTGCCTTGCTAAAATTAATAAATCACACCTCAATTTGATACTATTATTATTCTTAAATGTATGCAATAGGTTTTTCAACCAGTTTCAAAGGTATTTACGCCATGCCTAAACTTATAATCATTGGGACCTCTTTGAAATTAGTATTTTTTCCAATCCAGATTAGCTTTGCACTTTTGAAATTAATTTACTTTGAAGTAATATAATTACTACAAATTCAATATTATATAAAGAACTATAAAATAATAGGTATCTAAACGTCCCATGTAACACGGCGTGAAACTGATCATAGCCACGCATTATAATGTTCCTGTGAGATGACCGCGCCATGTGGAGAAAATCACGCAAACCTCTCATGTACAAATTAAGTTGAGGTCCCAATTCCAGGCATTTCCAATCATGGTAAAATATAACAAAGTTCTGAAGTAACCGTACGAGAATTATCATCGGGCAAACAGGATATTTTCATTGTACAATAATAACTACAATTTTTATGCAGTGACTTTATAAAGCTTCTGATTTATGTGTCAGGTTATGTTAGTTTGTATAAAGTTATGAGTGTTTATATCATCCGATTAGTTCTTGTTTACCATAATAACTGCAAATTGTTATATATGATCTCATATTTTATTCATTCAAAAAACTTTTAATCAAATTGTATACTTTCCAACTTATATTCTCAATGATTTGACGTAAATCTAATGAACATTTAATATTTTTTGTTTCGTTCAATTTAACACATAGACTGTAACTTTCAGCAACGTTAAAATAAAATAAAATATACAAATAGTTTAAAATTTTTATCCCTAAAAGAAATTTCCCTGTTGTGATAGGTGCAGAAACAGACGCTGAATTAACTAACGCTTAAAGTAAAATTCCTTTTAATAAAATTTAAAAAATTTTGACCCACCTTGGTGATAGCAAGACATGATATATAACTAAATAAGAACTCATGCAATCATATCACTAATTTCTTATCGTTCGTTGGACTTCACTTTAACAGCATGACGACCTTCGGAATACAGATTATTAATGTAATCATAAGTTTGCTCCCATAACTTCCTTTAGCTAACACTGTCTCAAATTCAACCAATAAATTCACCGCCTTCATTTTTCCAACCTGATTCCGATCTTCAGCCCTTCCACGTCTCGCCATTTCGGCAGCTGAGCGACACCGCTACAGTGCTGAATTTTAGGAGGCAAAAATGTGAACTAAAATTGAACCGTTTGTCCATTTCAACGGCCTGTAGAATTTGCCCACACATCTCTGATCCTAAACGCCTTGAAAAACGAGGCAAGGTATTTGCATAAATCTTTTTATTTTACTCAGTCTGAGGATACATCAATTTTATCATCCATGTTTCATGTCTATGGAAAAATAAAAGGGACGATCTGGAATCATGCTCATTTTTTGCCGAATTTTAAGGACAAAACGACATTATTTATTTATGTTAGAATTTTATTTCTTACATTTACTCGTTGTAAGAAATAAGAAGAAAATAATAAAAGAAGACTCGGACACCATAATAATACTTGATTACCTTCATTCTTATGAACAAAGAATAATCAGAAAATATAATTCTTTAATTTATTAAATTTATATAAGGGGATTTACCGAAAAGTAAGAAAGTGAGTAAACTTTTTTGTATTAATAGCGCAGAAAGAGAAAGAATTCATAAAATTCGTAACAAAAATATTTCGGGCGCTTTTCAGTCGACAATTTTCCCACGACCACAGACTTTAGATAGGCGAGTCACCAGTCACAGTATGTTTGCAGTAATTCATTTCAGTGAACACCTATCACTCCAAGTGGAACACTCTAAAAAATGATTGACACTTTGTCCAAAAAAGCGTTTCACTTTTCGCCCTGGTTTTGGTTATCCTGGCTAAGTTTTGCCCTACAAAAAAAGCGCGTCAGTGCTGCGTTCGCTCTCTGCTGGTGCTGTTAGTAAAAAGTGTGACACTATTTGAACAATGAACCAATTATTTCTCCGAGTGTATTATGACATTGGGCCCATTACTGGAAAATTCGCATCGATAAATGCGAATAACGCACCGATAAATGCGAATAACATAATATAAAAAAATAAAATGCAATAACATTTAGTTATTGATTCTCGACAAATATCTGGACCGTGACGAACTCAGCGCTTACATTCCACAAAGCAAATGCATGTTCAGGTAACGATATATTTCTTGGCAGTGAAAAACAGTGCGATTCTCCGTTGGCTAGAACAGGAAACTTCTCCTTTGTGGAGAACAGTACATTGTACATACAATTGTTCGTTGCGGAGAGCAGTAAAATTCGTTGTTGTGAAGAACAGTACAATTCTTCGTTGTGAAGAAGCGTACATTTCCATATGAAATACATGAAATACAGTACAATTTTTCGTTGTGAAGAACCGTATATTTCCTTATGGAATACAGTACAATTCTCCGATGTGGGGAACCGTACATTTCCATATTAAATACAGTACAATTTTTCGTTGTGAAGAACCGTATAATTCCTTATGGAATACAGTAAAATTCTTCGTTGTGAAGAACCGTATATTTCCTTATGGAATACGGTACAATTCTCCGATGTGGAGAACCATACATTTCCTTATGGAATACAGTACAATTCTCCGATGTGGAGAACATTACTATTTCCCTTTGTGGAGAACAGGACAGCTCAAAAAACAAAAGGCTTGTCTGAAAAATTCATGACAAAATTTGACGGCGTATGACATTCTTCCTGTAAAATACGACTAGAGGTGCATCCATAACTCATGGTCTGGCGGAGGGAAGCCCGTAGGTAAGAGTTTTATTGATAGCATTTGTATAAAATGTTTTGTATGTTTCTTTAGATAAAAGCATCGGTCAAATTTGTAGATGCACGGTATTTTGAAAAAGCGCATAAAGTAGGAGGCAAGATTTTACTCAACTACAATCTTCAAATTTTCTTTTTTTTTCAATTAATTCTCTTTAGAGAAAATTATCTTGAAATCATTATTTTATGTATATTTTCATTTTTTCCATGATTTGATTAATTTTACAGCATGAAAACATACAACTGCTATTAAAATTACATACAACTGTTATTAACATTACATACACTTGTTATATTAACAACTCTTATCTGTTATAGTATTATTTTTTCATACATGCACATGTATTCTGGGAATATAAATAAAAATCATGATGCCAAAAAATGCTCATTTGCATGCAGTGAAATAAGTGAAATTTTTATTCAATATCAATATTTGAGAAATATTTATTCAATATCCATATTTCCAGCTTCAACGACTTCTAGAAACAATAGCAGATATTTCATGAACTGACTAACAGTAAACACAAAAATATTTTATTCGGCTTCATTATAGGAACCCTCCCCCCCCCCTCATCTTGTAAACTTCATTTGAGTAGAAAATTTTTCTAGGCAATATGCATGATCAAAAAATTTACCATTAGCCGAATTTTGGAAGGAAAATATTGTCCATTATAAACTAAAAGAGTTCATATCGGGAAACTTTTCGTACTTTTCGTCATATGCCACGTCACTTGTCCTCTTCCTTACATAAGCATATTAAATATTTGCACAAATATTTCCATTACTTTTAATGAGACAATATTGCAATCTCGAGATAAACCTAGTAAACCACATCTCCATATCAAATCTCAGCGAACAAGTTCATGTGTACGTTTCTATCTTTAAATCCGTAGAATATTCGTCTGTCACAGCCAAAGTCACTGAGAACGACAGTCACTTGTTCATTTAGTCGGAGTGCTTTCAAGTTTCTCTTAAAACTCTGCGGTCTCGAGGACAATTTTGTTGTGCAGTTTTGCCTATAGTTTGGAGAGTGGCAGAAATGTTTCTCGTCGCAGCACTAAACAGAATCTGTCTTTTGTGAGAGAGACTCGACGCTTAGCTTTTGCTCTCACTGCCTGGACACCTTGAATTTTACAAAAAAAATTGGTCGAAGGTGCTATTTTCCGTAAGAGTCGTTAAGGTGTTATTTTTTAGTTTGGTTGTTATGGTGCTATTTTCTTGCACCTTAATGATCATGATCTCGATATTTTTCATGAGACCAGTTCCGTAGCTTTTGCGATAAACTTTGTATGTTAAAAATAACATTATTCATTAATGTTTGGTTAGGAATTATATTCTCATATCAACATTTTTTACGTGAACACGATTTTAAAAATAAACATGGAATAAATTTGACCAAGCAACTCAATTTGATTCAGATGTGGTAGAAGCCATGAGACAAAATGACCGGAAACTTAAAATAAATTATGACAACTTAAAGTGTTCATTTCTCTGATCAATCGCTTCATATATTGTTAATTTTGCACGTTAACACATCGAGTGTCATTCATAAATTTCCCAGAGGATATTTAGGTTTAAGGGTGTAAATTTTGCGACAAATAATTTTTTAACAATATCGATTGTAAACATTGTAATATTTTCAGTTGGCCACTTTATGTGCTGTTGATCCCCAATTTATGAGACTTATTTCCAAAAATGGAAGCTAAAACTCTCAAGAAAATGTTCGGAACTATTAAAATGGGAAGAAAATAATATTTTCACAAGATAACCTTACTTTGACAACATATTTTAGCTGGTTTTTTAAAAAGCCTGCGAAATTTGGATAAATGATGACGGTGCCAGCGCTGGAAATTCAAAAACTAATAACAACAAAGTCAAAGCAATTGAACTTCTGCGCCAGAATCCAGAGGATTACATGAACTAAATAACGATATAAGTTGTTAACTCACACGCGTTAGGCGAGAAATGACTTTCAAGCGAGCCTCACAGTAAACGCCTTTCACAAGTTTGGAAAAGTTCATTGATTGAAAATGCAGCCTGGCAAGTTCCTGCACGGGAAAATTATTGAATAACTGGTGCCGGGACTCACTATCGTGAGCCGCATAACTGCCTGATGAAGAAAAAACCTTTAAATGGAAGCAGTACTGCATCAGTATTAATCAGAGAAACACTAATTTTCATGGGCTGTAAGGTTAAATATAATTAAGTGGCTGAGGACATTTCAGTGAAAATTCCTTGTTAAGTTGAAATTTTTTGCGTATTAAACTCGCAGTGTTTTTTAAACTTGCAGACTTTTCTAGAGCAATTTCATCCTAATTCATACCGAATTTGACAAAATTTTATTATTCAAGTTTATCAATGCTGAAAAGTTACCAATAACGTATATTTAAGGCAAAGTTTTTTCAACCCATTTCATCCTCTTGAACAAAATGCGAGAGACACACTTTACGATGTAACTTTATGACTAACAATCTTACCGGCATCCTAAAATGTAACCTTAAATCGACAGGAAAACTTATTCACATTAATAACGTATTACTTATTGGAGTAGGTATTTTACAGCAAACAAGCCATCGATAAATAAATGATTTGTTTTTAAGGCACACAGGCAAAAAATTAACCAATGGGATGCATAAAATGTGAACCATATAATTGAGATTTTGAAAGTAATGTCAGAAGCTAGAATTTGTTTGTGATTATTACTTAACGTATTCCTTCATTATTATTAACGTATTCCTTCAATCATTTATGGGAGCTAATAAAAAATTTCCGCTAATACCCAAAAATTTGAAAATTTTTCCTGCACACTATATCAGAAAAAGTCTCAAAACTGCAATAGATAACTTAAATCAGTTAATCTCGAACTTCTTGATCAATACAGGGCGTCCCAAAAAAACGATACTCAACTTTGAATGGCTGTAACCCGAAAAGTAA